CCGTGGAACCTTCTTCAGGTGCCTTCTTTCGGCCGTGGAGCCTTCTTCACTGTCACACCTGAAGAAGGCTCCACGGCTGAAACGTTGTGTTCTCTTTCTTCTTTTTTCAGCATGGAATAAACCTATTACTTGTTCCACTGTAGGTTATATTCTTTTTGGTGGAGATGATATTAAGACAAAGGTCATTTGGTTGCTTTTTTACCTTTCTTCTTTAGTCAATCCTGCTAGCCTCCTGGCCTTTCGAGCAAGGATGAAACTAAAAAAAAAGAAGATATATATTTAAATAATCTGGATAATTTTCAAAAATATAACTTTAACAGTAAAGACATGCTTTACTAGTATGCTACCTTATTTGTGCTGCATGCATTACTAATATGCTGCATTATTTATAACTACAAAAATGTCAACGTCTGATGTCGTAATTTATACATAAATGCAGGAGATTCTTATTTAAAAAATGAGACAGCAAAGAGCTCCCTGGAATCAAATTTGTATTTCTTGTGACTTCATGAGCACTTATGTTACGAAATGCTTCCCACCACAAGTCACATGCTCAAGCTGATTTCCTGTCTGACTGTCCATTGCTAGTGGCTGTAAATTTCTCTACCCCATGATAGCAGGCGAGGTCCCGTCAGGTTTGGTGTCATCTAGTGTCAAACCAATAGGAGCCTCTTCTTCTTCAATGACCATACTGCCACAGTATCCTGGAACACATGAATCCAGGTGGTTCGGGAGAATGATAATGCAGATGCTGAATATTTCAGGGCCTGAGCACAAAAACCTAAGTACTTTTGACAAATAGGACTTCACTCTGCAGTTAAGAATAGCAGACCTTCACAATTTACTTTAGTTTCACCATTAAGGTGTTATTTGTGCAGCTTTGTGTTTTACTGCTCTTCTCTGTATTTTTACTACAGCAGAGTAAATATTCCAATATGATCAGCACCGTTAGGTTATGGTTCTTATTATTAAGCTTTTCAAATTCAAATTCAAAGGGCTTCACTGGCCAACATGAATGAAGATTTACGGCATTAAAGCACTCAAATTCAGCATGACCTATTGAAACATTTGCAACAATAAATTTGTTCCTCAGGCTGAGACTGCAGCTCTGCTGAGTGTCTTACCCCTCCCACAGAAGGATACCCGGCAGGTTTTCTGAATCTGGCAGCTGTGGGAATTCTGAGATTAGAAGATTGTTTGTCTCGCTGTGAGAGCGAAGCCAGTATACAAGTTAGTGCTATGCTTCAGAAACATTAATCGGTATCAGAATACGGCCAGATTCCAGATCATGAAATACTTTACAAATCAAGCTTCCGACTATTGTCATTATAATATCAATATAATCACTATAGCAAAAATGTTTCGAGCTTCCTTTTGCACTCAAAGTCTCTCTTCCCCTGCAGAACCTCATACTGTACTGCAGGACTAGTGTTTCAGGAATCGCCAGGGCTTGCAGACAGACTCACCCTTCTTCCTCCAGAAGTTCTCACTGTAGTACACCATGCACTTGATGACCGAGCCGGTGGGCACACGGTGGATGAGCTGGTTTCTCAAAGGCGGCAGAGGCGGGTTGAAGTGCATCTTTAGATTCAGCCCTGGCGCCGTGGCAATGATGGCGTATTTGGCCTGCGAATGGAAGAGGGACGACGTTTTCAATGTCCTCTTAAAAGAGACCTCCTCACATTGCAACCGTTTCCTTATTCTGTGCAGTCGTCTTTTCTTAAAGACTTAGCAAAGAGAGTAGCTTTGGCACAGCAGGGAGACAACTGGGCTGAAACACAAAGAGGGGCAGATGCCTCCAGCCGCTGAGCCTCAAACACACCCCGATGGAGAGAGCAAATCGAGACTTAGAGGGCTTGTGTTCCTAACCTGGAGTGTGACTGTGATGCGTGGAACACCAGTCACTTCCATCACTAGAGCTAGGCTCAGTAAAAGTGTGATTAACTT